GCGCTCAGTGCCGCTGGGATTGGGATGGGACTGGTTTGTGCTGGGACTGGTTTGTGCTGCTGTTTCTGGACGGAAGCGGGGGGGGGCGAAGTGGCAAAATTCAAATGCGAGCAGAGGAAATTAAGGTAGGAAAAAAGTATCTTCTGGTGCATGATTGCTTAGAAGAGACAGGGTGTGATATAGCCCAGAATAATCTACTACTGGATTATTTCACGTTACAGTGGCGATATGCTTACTACATCAGAGAAGATGAGATAAAATCGGCTCTTGTGTGTTGGCCACAGTTATTGATACTGTACAGTTTAAAATGTCAGCAAAATACCTTGCAAAAACAGGAACGCTGACTGTAACGGAGTAAAGTTTCACAAAAGATTGTTTTGCCGTATCCCTCAGATTTTTGGAAGCCAAATAAACTGTTCAGCACAGCTTTCGGTGTGGTGTCTGAGACTAGGGAAGACCTTTGGTGTGGCTGAAAAATTTCCCTGTAATGGGACATCTAGTCGTGGTCACGCTTAAGATCAAGTCTTCATCCCTCCCTGTTAAGAAGTGTGTCAAAAGGACAGTGAGAAAGTAAGCAGCTACTTAAAGAGGGAGGAGAATATAAAATGCCTGTTGAGACTTTTTATCAAGTACAATTAATAGCAATCTGTATCAAATACATTTTTTAAAAGATTTTTTTCATCTTCAATTTATGGCTCTAAAATGTAATTTCCTTTAGACGACTATATGTGGATAACTTTAAATCTTGGCTATCCATTAATATAAAGAATTAAAGCACAACATATAGACCTCAAACATCTATCTCACAGAGAATATTCTTTGGGGAGGAGGAGAAAGGGAAGGTAATTGCTCCAAAAGGAGCCATTTTTAACCAGAAGACACCTAGATATCTATCTAAATAAGGGCTTTAGAGTATCCCTGTGTTTGTGTATTTTTGTTAAGACTTGAGGCATGTTGATGGGAAATCGGTTAATGATTTGCACCATTAATAGTTAGCATCAATGCAATATTAATTCCCCCCCATCCAAAAAGCTCAAATGTGTTAACCGTGCAAAGGAGAAGTGTCAGAGTTGATTAGAGCTGAGTTATTGATACAGAATAAAAGGAAAGTGAAGGTGCAGCTGTTGGAGGAGAGGAATTATTTTTGCATTACCATTTTCTCTTGTTGTCTTGCACTAGAATGGTTGCTGCAGACCATTAATGCAGACCTGTTTTCAGTCCATTTTTTAGTTGAAAGTCAAAGATTAATGTTGGTTTAGGGTTAAAGATGTAAGTGGTCTGCATTTGGCATTGTAGGCATCCGAATTTCTCTTCCGCAACTTTTTTCAATTCCTAAGTTAGAGGTAATTTTTAGAACTTAATGTAAGAACACACTGCGTTTTGTTGTATTTTCTTTGTTGGTCTCTTAAACTTACTACTTCACAAATATTGTCACCTGAGCCTAAATACGATGTTAGTTCAATACGAAATAAGAACATTAGTCTTCAATGCATGTAGTTTGTCCTAGCTGTGCACCTTATAATATCTCATGCAACTATGCCAAATCTCATAAGCTGATCTTGTCTTAAGTCAATGATCCTGAATGTGGAATCAAGCCAACATGCTGCATATAAGCCATATATATAAAACAGCCCAACAGTTTTTGCCTTCAAAGACCACCATCTAACTCTGTTTGTAACGGAGACTTCTTTGCATCCAGCTTCTTCTACAGCAGTATCATCTGAGTAGGATTTGGCTCATGCAAATGGCTATCTCTGCACTTGAGAAAACAACCAATAACCTATATGTAATTGTGGGGTTATTAGTTTTTTCTTCTCTTCTTGGAGTACCCTTGCTCAGTGCCCGTTCCTGGCTCTTGTGATCCTGATCTGATGCTTGTTGAAGCGAGCTGTGGAACCTGCAGGCTGCTCAGCAGAATCCGGATTGGGCCCCATCACCCACTTTCAGCAGAAAATTTCATGTCTGGACTCAAGTTGATGGAGATCAGTGGCTTTGCTGGATCAGAAACAGTGTGATGGACTGACACTGTCATCCAGGCTCATCATATAGTGACAACTCGTTAGAGATGGGGACCAAGTCAGAAATCCAGTGATTGTATTTCCATAAGCATCAGTGGGCTTGAAGCAAGAACTCTTCCATGGGATACCACCTCTGCACCCTAAAGAGCTCACAGCTAGTAACCTGCTTGAAACCTTTCTTAGAGCAGCATCAAATATCTGCCTTGTTGTAAACCACTCAATTTAAAATGAACTAATTTCATTATTTTGTTAGGCAGATTATCTTCTTAATCTGAAAGCTAAATGGGAACGTTTTGATAAAAGCTAGGTAATATCTGGTTTTTATCTTTAAACTTACCTGTTATAGATAGAAATACTTAGCTGTATAGCATTATCCATTTTAAAGAGGTTTAAAGTTGGAGAGACTGTAGAAGGGAAGCAACGGAACTGCTGCATTTTGATTGCATTTTTATTTTTGCTCTTTCCATTCCTGATGAGTTGTCACCAGATAGTCGTACCTTTAAAAACTCTGTCAAATCAAAAAATAGTTCCAAATAGCAATAATGTGCCTTCATTTTTCCTCTTCTCTTTCTCACTGGCTCCTTCACAAACCTCACCTTTTTTGTTTCTTTTTGCAAGGTTTTGAAGACATGTGAGACACAGCCTCTGCTTCTAAGCCTTGTATTTTTTCTTTACCTTTCATTTTCTGCATTCTTAATTGTTTCTATATTATCTCTATTTATGGCCTGGCTACATGTGGCTAAGAATATGGTCTGTAATATTCACTGATTTCAACACAGTCAGGAGTGTGATCACTAGCAATGTACAAAACCCTGTGGTCCTACAGTGTTGGTTGTCTGAAAATTTTTAATGTGTGATTTGGGTGATTATGATAAGGGTTTGGCATGTGAATTAGGGGACCCGACAGATGGAATACTTGGTTGTGGTTGATCAGAGTGGGACTGTCTCTATAGTCAACAGATTCCGGTCAGCACAACGTTTTTGACTCCTTAGGTTTTGTCTCCTTTCTCTGTAAAAGCAGTGCATTACGGTCATGTAGCGAGAGAAAGGCAAGGATTTTTCAGTTCTGGTCTACTAAATCCTGATCCATCTTTTCCTACCTATATCCAGTGGGGTTTGGATTATTCTCTTTACCAATGTTCATCGAACTTGCTAACAAGTATTTTGTTCAACTTACTATTTCTGCTGACATCTTATAGCTCCTTCCCCTCCCCCCCAAAAAAAACCCCAAACCAATGCTAATTATAAACTATACTTTGAAAACGTTTTCTGCATCCTGGAGAATGACTAAAGATGTCTATAAAATCATTCAACTGAAAAAAAGAAATCTCAGTATTTCATCCTCAGCTCTCACAGATTCTATGCATGCCTAACTTTATGCCTGTTATTGTGTAATGATTTAATTGGACCTTTCCTTTTGTGGTTGATCAGTCAAAGCACAATATTACCCCAAGACAAACTGAAATGTAAAACTTCACACTTTTTGCACTACTAGCCATTAAAAAAAATCTTTTTGTTTGTTTGCATTTAGTTGAATAAGTCAAATTACATGATGATTGAAGATAATAAAGAGAATGAAGACCATGCAGCTGAAAGAGGAAGAACAGCCATCATTTTTTCCTTGAAGAATGAAGTTGGAGGACTTGTAAAAGCATTAAAACTCTTTCAGGTATGTAATAATCACATTGCTGCAGCAGGTCTGTATTTTTAAATTGTAAGGATTGTTTTGGAACACACTAGAATTAATTACATCCATTTAGTAAGGATGCGATTCCTAACCTGGCTCCCACTTTGCACCCAAAATTACCCATGAAGGCAAATTTATGCCTCAGAAATGAGATGCTGGCTGGCTAAAAATCTTCACAAAATGTATTATCTGCACTTACTAAAGACTGAGAGAGTTTTGTCTTTTGCCCTCATGAAAAGAGGATTGGCACTCATTGTTTCTACTGCATAGAGAGGTGGGTCTGAAGCCCCTGCCGATGGCAGGTAGACACTTGGGGTGCTCTCTCACACTGGGTTGAGTCCAGTGCCCTTGTCACCCTGCCTAGCCGGACGGAGGGTGGCAGAGGAACCGCAACTGCACAACCGCACTCCTTTGATTGCTGGGCAGGTATTGTGCAAGGAATATGCGCAGTGCCACTGTGCTCTGTCATCTGGTCCTGCATGTCTTAGCCTGGGGTCTTCTCTGTGTTCCTGATATAAGACATATGATTAAATAATTTTTCAAATAAAAGAAAAGTGAAATTTATGGCCTGAAAACTACTACTTTTAAATTCCTTGCTTGCTTGTGAGATAATTATATGGTGACTTGATTGGCATTTTGGTGAATTTCCCCAGACCCAGTTGCTAATCAGCTTCCTATGGGAGGGATGAAAGAAAAAGGTCTATGAATTTAAACCTCGTGACTGTGTCTTTCTGTGCTTCCAGAATGAATGAAATTGAAAGAACACAGGTTCTCTTTCGTTTTCTTCTGAATGGGAGGCTTTTTAAAATCAAACCATTTCCCCCTCCTCCAGTAAGCAAACTGCTATCAAGAGAGCCAGTTAACTAAAATAGCTTCACAAAGGTGGTGAATATTCATTTGACAATCAAATTTTAGTTTTTAGTCAATCTGTTTGAAAACATTACTTCTTAAAAAACAGGAGAAGCATGTAAATCTGGTACACATTGAGTCACGGAAGTCCAAGAGACAAAATTCTGAGTTTGAGATCTTTGTGGACTGTGACAGTAACAGGGAACAACTGAATGAGATCTTCCAGCTCCTGAAATCCCACGTCAACGTTGTCTCTATGAACCCGACAGAGCATTTCAATGTCCGGGAAGATGGTAAGTACAAAAGGCAGTTCTGATGAAAATGCACTTCTCCAAATCTTTTTATGGTGTCCACATCTGCATTTGTATAGTGTTTCAATCAGTAGCTACCAGGTTTATGGTTCTGTGTTGCGAATGAGTGTAGTTTGGTTAGTATGAGCAACGTTTGGTTGATATGGGCTGCATTGGCTGGTGTCATCTAGGAATACAGGCTGTTTCAGGCTGGTGCAAATTGCATGTCCGTTATCTGTGCTCCCATCCCTGCTCAGCACAGCACAACTGACATGAATGGGGTCCCTGCACCCACGCAGACCAATGCAGGGCGGCATGTAGGCAAAGTCTGAATGCAGGGCTTGGCCAGGGACTGTACACCATGATGACAGAGGTATAATACTGACAGATCCTGGGCCGCATCAGAAGCAGCGTGGCCAGCAGGTTGAGGGAGGTGATGCTGCCCCTCTACTCTGCTCTGGTGAGACCCCCCCTGCAGTGCTGCGTCCAGCTCTGGAGCCCTCAGCACAAGACAGACATGGACCTGTTGGAGCGGGTCCAGAGGAGGGCCACAAAAATGATCAGGGGGATGGAACGCCTCTCCTATGAAGAAAGGCTGAGAGAGTTGGGGTTGTTCAGCCTGGAGAAGAGAAGGCTTCGGGGAGACCTTATTGCAGCCTTTCAGTACTTAAAGGGGCTTATTAGAAAGATGGGGACAGACTTTTTAGCAGACAAGACAAGGTGGAATGGTTTTAAACTAAAAGAGGGTAGATTCAGACTAGATATAAGGAAGAAGTGTTTTATGATGAGGGTGGTGAAACCCTGGCACAGGTTGCCCAGAGAGGTGGTAGATGCCCCATCCCTGGGAACATTCAAGGTCAGGTTGGACGGGGCTCTGAGCAATGTGATCTAGTTGCAGATGTCCCTGCCCATGGCAGGGGGGTTGGACTAGATGACCTTTAAAGGTCCATTCCAACCCAAACCATTCTATGATTCTATCCTAGTTCAGTTCAGACACTGGTGAGAGTGGGAGATGGATTCTGCAATTTCCTCATTTAGCTCTTGATTTAAATTTTTTTTTTTTACCACTTTTCATCATAACCAGTTACTTATGTTAGTGTGAAAGAGGTGCCTTTTAACTTTAGGATGTTTCACATCCTGTTTACCTTTGCTTCTAGTTAAAGAGATACCTAAAGTTCAGGGCAGCAGGAAGTTGGTCCCATGTATTTCTCGGCCACTGTGCTTGGCACAGGCTGGTAGTTAGGGGAAGGTGACATCTGGTGTCTCTTGGATAAAACCAGCTTACTGTAGCCCGAAGTAAGGAGAATTTCAATCTAGACACTCCCCCTGTGCTTTTTAAGAAAACTGAAGAGCATTGGGGCAGAAAAACAGTGCATTAACCACTCTGTCAAGAGCTTGGTTATAAACTTTCTCAGGCTTAAAAAAAAAAAAAGTTCGTAGCAAAACTGTACTGATGCATCTCTCTAAGGCTGCAGGGCTGAAATTGCCTCCTTCTCCTTCCCCTCAGCAAAGCTGGGTGCTTCTGAGGTACATAACCATAGAGCAATGTTTATTTCCCATGGTCAGTAAAGCAGGATGCGAGGACTCAAACCTGCTCCCACTCTGCCCAGGGACCACAGGCAAATCGCTCCTCTGCTCCTTTGCCCACTGCGTAGCCTAGAAGATTCACAGCAGTGTGCACAAGGATGCCTTAGAATCACAGAATCAATTAGGTTGGAAAAGACCTTTAAGATCATCGAGTCTAACTGTTAACCTAACACTGCCAAGTCCACCACTAAACCATGTCCCACATCTACATGTCTTTTAAATACTTCCAGGATGGTGACTTACCTGGGCAGCCTGTTCCAAGGCTCGACAATACTTTTGGTGAATAAATTTTTCCTAATGTCCAGTCTAAACCTCCCCTGGTGCAACTTGAGGCCATTTCCTCTCGTCCTATCGCTAGTTACTTGGCAGAAGAGACCAACCCCCACCTCGCTCCAACCTCCTTTCAGGTAGTTGTAGAGCGCGATGAGGTCTCCCCTCAGCCTCCTCTTCTCCAGGCTAAACAGCCCCAGTTCCCTCAGCTGCTCCTCATAAGGCTTGTGCTCCAGAGCCTTCACCAGCTTCGTTGCCCTTCTCTGGACATGCTCCAGCACCTCAATGTCCTTCTTGTAGTGAGGGGCCCAAAACTGAACACAGTATTCGAGGTGCCTTGTCTCAGTGGGAGTGGTTAGATACTACTCTAACATTAACAGTAATAACAGTTAAGGCCACAGAAAACCCGTATTAACTGTTTCCTCCCCTGGACACTTCGGAGCTGGCTGTGCTCTGTAGGCAGACCGTGGCAGTGACAGAGGAGGAAGTGTGAGCTGTAGGCTGGTGCCAGATAGGCAGTGGACTCCCTTGTCCTATTCATGACCCTTTTAATTTATAGATTTCGCTTGTAACCACCATAGCCATACTTGAAAGTAGTGTTTCCTCCCGCAGCATGCTCGGCGTTATTAATAACTTTGTGGATTCCATGCATTCCCTAGACATGGAGAATGTTCCCTGGTTTCCTAAGAAGATCTCAGATTTGGATAAGTGTGCAAACCGAGTGCTGATGTATGGGTCCGATTTGGATGCTGACCATCCAGTAAGTATCTTTCCCCCGCTATGCTCCATCCTTAGTGAAAATGTACTTTGTGGAGCTTACTTTAAAAAAATTGCAGCTTTTCCTCCTCCCTCTCCTTCCCCTCAGCGGCGCCTCTGTGGGTCCGAGCACCTTCTCTTGAGAGTTTCATGTCTTTTTCCTAGTTTGGGCAAGGCTGTCACTGAATTCAGCTCCCATGTCTTTCTCCAAGGCTTACTCGTGTGAGGACTCCAGGTCTGGGCCCTGAGTGGTCGCATACAAATGAAAAAAAAAAAAAAAAAAAAAAAAAAAGCTGCTATGCAGCAGGCTTGGTTCCTCCTCTTTCTTTCTTCCTTGCTATAAACGGAGCAAACAAATTGGTACTTGGGCAGTGCAAATGGGCAATTTGTCCTGTAATTTAGAATAATCAAGCAAGTAACAAAGTTTGTATAAATACTGATACGACTAAAATGAATCCTTGTCTACTGAATATATAGTTGCATGCATAAAACCGCTGATCCTTACTTTGAATTGGAGTATTTGCTTAGTTCACAGTTATTAAATATTTTAGACTACAGCTATGAGATTCCTGCCCTGTCCTCTCATTCTTACACAGCATACTTTTATATTTCCCAACTGAAGAAATTTCAAGTGTCTTGTTTTAAATGAATTTATTTACTACAGTTTGGAAATTCACTTAACTTTGTTTTTCCCCTTCCCCCTCCTCCAGGGTTTCAAAGACAATGTCTATCGCAAGAGGCGAAAGTATTTTGCAGACCTGGCTATGAACTACAAACAGTAAGCTCAACAACTTCTAGAATAAGCCTTCTGGGTCCTTTGAAATAATAGCAGAGTGGACTGGCAGGAGCTCATGTTCCCTGGGCTCAGAGCTCGTGGAGACGTGCTTGGCTCAGGAATCAGCTGGAGGGGTAAAATGAAGGGAGATGTAAGACAAGATTAAAAGATAGATCTAGGCCATCTTACAGCTCCCTGGACCTCTGATAGGCCTGAGGATCAGCTTGTGGTTGCTCGGCCGTAATGGCACCTGCGGCAGCGCTGATCCTCAGATGGGCAGCGATGCCCGCGTGGGCTTCCTGCAGCGTGGTGCATTTGGACTCTGCGGTCCCTCCCCGCTTCCCTGGAAATGGGTGCAACAAAGGAAGAGGGTGGACAATGCATGTTGCACAGCTGCCTGTGCCAGGACGTACTGACTTGACTAGGGCAGATTGGTCTCCTTTGCGAAGGAGAGGGAGGGGAGGCAAAACCCAATGTAGAGCCCATTGACCACTGAGTATAAACTCTCTGGGCAAATGTTAATACTTGAGTTTTCTTTCCTGGTTCAAACTAGTGCAAGTGATGTGTAGATAAGAAGTTTTCTGTGAAAAGAAACTTGAAGAACTTCTGTCTTTAGAGGTGCTGCTTGGGGGAGGGAGCTCTTAAAGCAGTAGGAGTTTCATAGCCCAGTGCTGTAAATTCTTTCTAAACCTGATTTTCGTGCTGCTGTTGCCTGCTTGAATTTAGATGCCAAATTCCTCAACTGGAAATGACCTAGAAATGGTGGGTATCTAGAGCTCTGTTGTACTGTCTATTAATGCAACTGGTTACCACAGCACAGAGTCGGTTACTGTTAATGTGGTGTTAACAGAGACTCCCTTGGGAAAGCATCTGCCATGCTGGTTACCTGGCTGGCAGTGGAAGCTCAGTGTAATGCTCCCATTGCTCTCAGCGGGCTTTAGGTCACACCCTTGCTATAATCCACTTTAACCAAGATCCTGAGGGCTAAATAGGAGACGTGGACTACAATTAATATGTTCAGACAGATGCTTGTCTCCTCTGCGTAGAAGCATGATTTTTACCTAGTGTGTATATTTAGCTGCTTCCACACATTGTGTTATTAATTTAGGGAATTCTCTTTTTCTAAAACAAATCAAAAAGGTAACAGAAAGTAATTGTAGGCAGGGAAGTCCTACAGGGGAAAAGGATGTGTTCTCAGCTCCTGAAGCTGTAAAGGTTTTGCAGGTATTTTAAATGTTACTCTCAGCATTAAACACCTAAGAAACTGTTTACAGGACCAAAGCTTTCAGGCTCCAGTGAGGTCAATGCAAAGATTCCTGTTCGTTGATTTAGGTGGAAAAGAGAGTAAGCGCTTTGACTAAAGGCTCTACAGGGCATAGACCAGATCTCACTGTGTATTTGACAGTGCCTAATGCAATGGGATCTTAACCCTGACCAGGTGTCACAGCCACATAAATGTTAAATAATAATAATAAGTGAATGAGTCATCCATTACTAGCCATTTACCAAGGAATATCCTTTCTTCCTCTTCCCCTTGTAGTGGTGATCCAATTCCCAAGATTGAATTCACTGAGGAGGAGATCAAGACTTGGGGTACTGTGTACCGAGAGCTTAACAAGCTTTACCCAACTCATGCCTGCAGAGAGTACCTTAAAAACTTACCCTTGCTCACCAAATACTGTGGGTACAGGGAAGACAATATCCCCCAGCTGGAAGATGTGTCCCACTTCCTGAAAGGTAATGTACTAATTTTCTTACACAAAAAGGAACTAAGGTCCATTGCAAATCACCCTGCTATTATATGGGCATGAGAAAACGCCTTTGGTCACTTTTGCTTGTATTCATTCTGGTCCTTCAAGAGGCCTTTTGGCCATCAGCGTATTGTGTCTTGAATATATATGAACAGTGATATTTGAGGGGCAATGCTACCTCTGAAGAGACTAATAGGATTGGCTGAAGAGGTACCTAGCTGTATTGTGTTGGCTCTAGGCATGAAATCGTAGGAAATCCACCTATACAGAGGTAGGGACATTTTTACTAAATGTTGGTCATTCTCAAGCTTAGGCCTATTTTTTCTAATCGTGCCTAATTTTCTCACATGCTCTTGAGCCAAGGTAGTGCCGTGGCTTTTACCCTAGTTGTAGCAGGAAAGGTGACAACATTGTGCAATTCTGCACTAAACTAATGTACAATTTCTCTGTTCCTTTTCAGAGCGCACAGGTTTCACCATCCGCCCCGTTGCTGGATATCTATCGCCCAGAGACTTCTTGGCAGGATTAGCATTCAGAGTCTTTCACTGCACTCAATATGTTAGACACAGCTCGGACCCTCTCTATACACCAGAGCCGTGAGTCATTTAATCTTGGGGTAGAATTTGAGAGAGGGAATTTTGAATCTCACTGCCCAGAGCCAAGCTACTTAAAAGCTGTTCAAGAACACCAGCAAGAAAACTTATTTCTTAAGGGGCTGAAGACTCAGCCTTCACCCTGAATATAATGAAGTTTTAGCATGCTCAAGTGCCACCTTTATAAGTACAGGATTTTCAAAAGTACAGCATGTTACTGGAGAGCTCTTACTGATGTCATTGTGCACAGAGTTAGTTTAATATTCAATTGCTTCATAAATGTGGAGCTCAGATCTTAATTTTAGACAGCTTCATTTGAAAATCTGAGTTTATATAGTTCTTTAGAACTCATATGACCTGCTCAATTGCTTTCAGCTAAACATGATTGACACTTTTCTGCCTTTTGAATATTAAGTAGTTTAATGCAAGACATTGTATCTGCTCAGTGGTGCTGCTTTTTCACTCTACCACAAAGACAGATCATGAGATATCTTATTTTGTTTCTTTTTCCAGTGATACCTGCCATGAACTCCTAGGCCACGTCCCTCTTTTGGCTGAACCCAGTTTTGCTCAGTTCTCCCAGGAAATTGGTCTTGCATCACTTGGGGCATCAGATGAGGCTGTCCAAAAACTGGCAACAGTGAGTGTTTCAGTGCCTGGTGATCCCATTGAAAGCTTCATGCTTTACTAGGCTGATCCCACTCCATCGAATAAATTTGGAGCTTTGTATCAACATTAGCCACACTGGCTGCTAGACCTATGTGTTTCACTGGTTCTTGGCTTTTAAAGCATATTACAATTTTCCATGCTAGGAAAAAAAATATATTTTAAGGTTGATATGATTGGTATTTTTCTTCAGTTGGCTGTCAAGTAAGGGTGCAACATCTGGTGGTAGGTCACGTCTTCCAGATTGAAATTCTATGGTCTGTTTCTTCCAGACAAAATCTTTTTACTTCTGGGAACATGATTCAATGATTTAAAAGTAATCTATTTCTTTAATGTGTAGAATGAATTGAAATGATGTGGTGTTTTCATTGAATGTGGTGAGCGCTAGCATTAGATACTTTTCAGCCAAGAAATTCAAATAATATAAATTAATCTTATTTCCTGGATATCAGTTTCTGGACGCTTTGGCAAAAATATTTTAAGATGAAAATTAAATTTAGATCAAAAATAATTGATGCCAGTTATGAAAGAACTGGTTTACTGATATTTTTACATTTTCTTCCCCACCTGGTATAGCTAGTGGGAAAATTTCTACTACCTTCAGTGGGAACAGAATTAAGCCGTCTATGAAAATAGCATTCCTCCCCATATACGTGCAGAAATCCTGAAATCCAGCAAACTGAGTATCTTTAATTTTACAGACCACTAAGCAAATGAGGAACAAACTGTAGTGAGCTTATGTTTTCACTCACTCACAGAGATCCTCTCTATCCAGTTCCTTTTAAGCTAAAGCTAGTCATGTCATGATAATATTTCTCAAAACAGATTTATGTCTCCATGTTCCTATTGACATTAACAGCTTCTAGCCTATTTGGGTGATCTATAATATCAATCTTTCTTATGAGAGACATGCAGTCCTGTGGTTCTTCACCCTTCCGTTCTGGCTTCCCTCCTCTTTAAATATCTGAGAAGGATAACCAAGTCAGACTGTCTGATACTTGCAACCGTTTGACACTACCTACAAACCGAAATGGCCCCATCTAGTTCATCACAGCATCTTTGCTGAAGGCTGGATTATTCTACTCCCTTCTCTGTTTCAGTGCTACTTCTTCACTGTAGAGTTTGGCTTGTGCAAGCAAGAGGGACAGCTACGAGTTTATGGGGCTGGCTTGCTCTCTTCAATTAGTGAGCTCAAGGTAAGACTATCTACTGCTGATTTACCTCTTTTCTTTGTTTGTACCTGATTATTATTGTCACTGTTTTGCCCTGTTTTTTATGAAGTATAATTCTAAAAATCCTTCTTTTGAAAGCTCCTAGATACCTACTAGACTTTAAGCAAATTCACTGTGGCAATAATCACTGGACAGTCTGCTTTTGGATATATGCTGAGCAGCTCCCATGTCTTTTGCAGGAAGCATTAGATGACTGGTATTTCTTAATGTTAGGTTCCAAGTAACTATTTCAGAATAAAGCTCTGCTGGTTTAATCAGATTCTGAAAATATTGCTCTTGTTTACACATGAACCTCGTGTCTGAGGAATCTCTTTTTTGACCCAGATCGGCAGAATATGACGGTTCAGAGTTATTCTGTTTGTTAAACTTTAGCCACTGTTCATCTGCAGATAAAAATTTTAAGAAGCAATGCACTAAATATGGTCTCACTTTATCTTTTTTTTATTCACTCTACCTCATGTCATCTTCCTTGTGGATTATTTGGGTGGTGATGTTCCTCTGACACATTATCAGCACTCGCTCTCTGGCAGTGCCAAAGTCAAGCCTTTTGATCCAAAGGTCACCTGCAAGCAAGAATGTCTCATTACAACTTTCCAGGAGGTTTACTTTGTTTCTGAAAGTTTTGAAGAAGCAAAGGAAAAGATGAGGTACAGGTTTTTTTCCCTTTTTTCACAGTTTTATAAAAGCAGGTTTGATTTCATGCATCTCTTGGTAGCAGCACCAAACCCTTTTATTCTTATCACAGTTTTATAATTATCTTTCATGGGGTTGGAAAGCCAAGATTAGTATTTGCTTCGTCTTCCATGTACTGGGTGGGAAAGATGATGAACTATATAACAATTACAACTATTTTTAAGAAAGTTAAGTAGTTTAGAAAAGTGGTTATTGATACTGCTGCATACAGAGGATGCATTTGTGTTTTGTTTATAACAACTCCTTCTCTTTTTTTACTTGAATAGAGAGTTTGCAAAAACCATCAAGCGCCCATTTGGCGTGAAGTACAATCCATATACTCAAAGCGTGCAGATCCTGAAAGACATGAAGAGCATTGCCAGCGTGGTGAATGAGCTACGTCATGAGCTGGACATTGTCAGCGATGCCCTCAGCAAGATGGGCAAGCAGCTGGAAGTTTAACACCTGCCAGCAGTGTGGTGCACTTAGCAACTCTTCCCCCGCCCC